TGTTTTCTATGTAAACTTTGATTGGAACTTCTTTAACAGAATCCCGCTCTATCTTATAAAATATTTTTAGAGCAGTAATTTTTCTAACTGGACATACAATTATTAATCTCCATCTTACCAACATATTAATCTCTATACAATGAATGTCAGATATCTAAATGTTTTTCAACTCAAAATTATTCTTGAAAAAATACTATATGGTTTTGTACATATTTATATCTAAAACCTAGATTAGATGAACTTTTTAAGGAGCCTGAAAACTTCAATTCTGTTTGGCAATCTATTTTAAGATCATTATTGCTTAAAACATACTTTTTATTACAAGTGTGAATATTTTGTACTTTATAGGCACATTATAGTAATACCATGAATACCAGAGATTTAGATTATTAGAACAAGAATTCATTGCTTAATATATAATTTATCTGTCAGAGAAAATGAATTTCTTAACCAGTTTAAATTCAATCTTTAAGCCAATTTCTTATTTAGACACTTTTCCCCAATTAAGTTCAAGTTTCAAAATCTAAAATTGTTTAAGTAATTTCTTTGCATAATTGACATGTGTCTGCATGATTCATATGAGATTTCGAAATTTAAAATGTTATATGAAACTTTAATATTTTATAGTGCATCAGCTTTTGTATTTTCTCTAAAATAATCTTGCCATGTTCGTTTAAAATAAATATTATTGATTTTAAATTGCTTTGTTTTTTGCATTTACCATTACTCTGACTTAAACAAAGAAGCAGCAAGAAACATATATGACATATAGTTGAAGAATAAGTTTCTTTAGTATCAACTAAATTGAAAAAAAAAACAACTAAATTGAAAAAAAAACAAAACATTTTCAATATTGGAAATCATTATCTTTTTTCATTCAAAACTGCTTCAATATAAAAATCAGAAGATGTAGTATGAGTGCCAATAATACAAACCCCCATCAAGACACAATGTAGATACAATAAGCAATTATAGGTTACAGTATTACTTTCAATGCAAGCCTTGGCTCTCACCGATCAGTAGGCTACAAAGGGTGCCCAAATGACCAGTATAAAACGATTCAAGCAAGAGATCAAAAGGATAGAATGTTCAATGAAAGAGATTCCTCCAAGGCAAAAACAGTTTAATTTCAGTATTTAGAGTATATTTTAATGGATTTGTCAAATGTCAGAGGGAATATCTTTACAAATAAGAAAATGTGGTAGGAATACCAATGAGACAACTCTCCCTCAAGACACAGTGTAGTCAAAGTAAGCAATTATAGGTTACAATACAGCCTTCAACACAAAGCCTTGGCTCACACCGAACAGCAAGCTATTAAGGGCCCTAAAATGACCATTGTAAAACAATTTAGACAGGAAAAACCAACAGTCTAATTTAAATACAAAACGAGAAACGAAAAGCACCTATGAACTACACCAAAAAAACTACAACCACTGAACAACATGCTTCTGACTTAGGACAGGTGTTGGAGGGAATATCTTTTTGAATAAGAAAATGTGATAGGAATACCAATGAGACAACTCTCCATCAAGACACAGTGTTGTCAAAATAAGCAATTATAGGTTACAGTACAGCCTTCAACACAAAGCCTTGGCTCCCATCGAACAGCAAGCTATTAAGGGCCCCTAAAAGACCATTATAAAACAATTCAAACAGGATAAAACAACAGTCTAATTTAACTACAAACAAGAAACGTTAAGCACATATGAACTGCACCAAAAAAACTACAACCACTAAAAAACATGCTTCTGACTTAGGACAGGTGCATATAAATGCAGCTGGTTCAAATGTTTTTACATGCTAACCTTAAGACAGTAGTGTAACATTAGCACTTAAAAGACACCCTTTAAAAATTAATGAAAAAGTCGTGTTCAGATAAAACAGGAACACCTTACAACACTTCATAAATGTGGCCCTTAAACTAATATTTAGGAGATGGGTATTCAGTGGTATTTTCATGCTTGACCATGTTAGGTTTTTTTTTTGTTAACATTTTTGTTTGTTTATTTTCAAGTACTAGGTGTAAACTATTTTGCCTGGGCTATTAATAGCTTTCTTTATGAATTGGTTTTGGTCATGAAGGTGAAAAGGATACAGTGCAATTCAAATTAGATATATTTACAATTATATTTGCAGGCCATTTTTCATGACACACAAATTAAAATATATGACATCAAAATAAAAAGTGACTAGCGTTTAAAGATTATTCTGAAACGAATATTTTGGATCATTCAGAAAAAATTCAGCGATGTCCCCAAAGTGTGTAAAAGGTTTTAAAAAGTATTTGTTTTTAACAAAAGAGGTTATCATCTTAAACTTTAAGAGCACGAAGCACACAACTTAAAAATTTCAATACTTACTACCCTAAGCATCACAAAAACCTTGCAGAGCAGGCATAAAGCTATTAACACTGATCAAAATCAAGCCATTGTTCAGATAACAATGAACATATCTCAAATTTCAATAAAAACAGCTTTTAGGGTTCACGTATTGCATTTCTTTTTTTTTAAAGAAAGCAACTTGTTTGTTCTCTTTGCTTGTTGGTATGGTATGAGGTAATTTCGTACCATTGCCATTTCGTACCCAAAATTACCATTTCGTACCATGAATTTGCCATTTCGTTCCATGAACATAAACCATTTCGTACCATGAACATAAACCATTTCGTACCATGAACATAAACCATTTTGTACCATAAGAAACCATTTCGTGCCATATGGAAAAAAAGATTTACCATTTTGTACCATACAGATAAATGCTTTACCTTTTCGTACCAACATTTCTTTCAACATCACCATGCAGACGGTCGTTTGTTGTACCAGAAATCCACTTGGAAGAGTAAGTATTACATGCATTGCAATAAATATGTATCATTAGACCAATAATTTGTTTTTTTTACATAAAAAAAGTTCGAAGTTGTGGTATGATTGCCAATGAAACAGTGGCATATGATAAAAATATTTACAATGCACAAATTGTATAACCATTATGATTCAGCAAGCCAAATTGACCATTGATGCACTAACGTGTTTTAACTTTACATATTTTTAAGAATAATTTTTGCTTCTTCAACTATTAGCAACTCAGCCGTAGTTTGAACTTTGAGTGTGTTTCTATTCAGTGCAAAAATATGACTTATCCCTTTTTGTTTTGCGTGCATATTAATTTTCATGCTAAAATTAAGTGCAATAAAAGGACTAATCTTTAATTTACTTTAGTACAGATTCATTATAAGGTTAAGTTTTTTTATTTTTTTAATACAGCTAAATTATAAGGTTACACGTTATTGCAATTAAAGGACTAAATAAATCATTAATTTAATTTGAGTGCCTTTCGAGTATACAATTTAGTGCAGTTAAAAGAATTATCTTTTTTTAGTTGACTCCGTGTCCAGTTTCAATTTTGTGCAATTTGTTATTGTTCTTTCTATTGCTATTGTTATGTATATATGTTCACAAATAAATAATAAAATAAATTAAATATCTGTTTGCTTTTTTTTAATTGATATTCATGAAATAAATGAATAAAAGAACATGTGCAGTATACACCATTTAGACAGTAATTACATCCAATCAATCATATAACAAAAAAACAGGGTTCTTTTCTCATATCCAATCAAGAAATTTCCTGGACGCACATTCTTTCAAATGGTAGGCAATTAAACCTTCAGTACTGAATTATGAATACATATAAAAATAGCATATAATGGTACGAAATGGTAAACATTATAGTCTTACATATAGCACGAAATGGTATACATAATAATCTCCCATATGGTACGAAATGGTAAACATTATAGTCTTCCATATGGCACGAAATGGTATACATTATAATCTTCCATATGGTACGAAATGGTCATGGTACGAAATGGTTATGGTACGAAATGGTTTTGTTATGGTACAAAATGGGTGGTACGAAATGGTTATGGTATGAAATGACTATGATTCGTTGGTATAGCCTAGTTTTCTTTTTGTACATTTTTCCAATTTTGTGGGTTATCCATGGTAGGCTTGTTTTTGAGCGGATGAGTTTTGATATGATGTTCTTGATCAAATTTGTGTAGAGTTTTTGAATGTGTCCTATAATTATTGTACTGTAGCACGAATTTGATACATATCAGTGATTTTTGTTGATAGTATATTGAGGTCTTTATGGAGGTGTTCCATTTTGATTTTGCTTTGGAGCATTTACATGGCTGTTTACTGTGGTAGTGTGGTTTTGTGTCACAGTGTGTTATGATCACTAAAGTTCAACCCTGTGATGTTCGGGGTATGGGATTCTCGATCGGCGAGATGTTTATACCCCACATATAATTTTCTAAAGAATTATCTTCAACGGCAATGAACATGTATTGTGCAGAATAACACTTCTATATTATCGATATATGTAAAAAAATATTATGCTTGATACATGCTATTATATACGCTAGCTAAGTCTCCGGATTTGCATTTACATATACCCAATTGATGTGCAAAATGAATGATTTTAATCGAGCGCATTGCATTTGCGTCAATATTTTAAAAAGTCAATATTTCATTTGCGTCACAATGTTTTATTTTATTTGCGCGAAAAAATAAATTCTGCCTTTGCTGCACTTAACGTGCAAAATATGACGGGACAATGTGAAGTTGTATTCTGAATCAATACGAAGCTCGTATATGAAATTTGTAGAGTATTATCTTAACATTCAACTGGTAAGTAAGTGAGTTCATACCCATTTGTCTTACAAAGCTGATAATCACTTGTTGGTAAAAACTTGTATAGTATTCACCTGATTATGTGAATACTTGCAATTGCTTTGCACTTTTCTCCACCGAATATTGGAGGTCTTAAACGAACAATTACGATTAATTACGCTACTATGTTATAACTACAATTTAGAACGTATTTATAATTGTTTTACAAGTGTTTATTGCTTTCTTTTTGTGCTGTTTTCTGGGTTGTCATATATATTCTATCTTCTAACTTTCAACTTACAATATATATCTTATATTTACCTATATCTGGTACATTTACCCAAAGCCCATAAACCACACTCCAGGTTTATTTTGCTCAATTTGTACTTTACTTTTGAATACCAAGTAGTCTTTTTTACGTGATTTCTTAAAAAAAAAAGATATACAATATTATTGTCCTTCTTCTTGTAAAGAAATTTCTATATTTTTTACATAAATGAGAGGCTGAACAAAGGAACTATTAGAAATTATTGACAGTATCAAATGTTACATGAAAATAGGGGGCATTTGGTTTCATAAATTCATAAGAAATCTTTATATTCAAAGGTTGGATTTTAAAAGAAATACATTTTCGGTTATATTGACATTTTTAAATTTATAGTGATGTGATTGTTTACGTACACTGTATATATTGTATAGTTTGTATGACGCAAACACTAATACCCCGCTGGTGTTTGCCCCCGATGTAAAGGGGTGGCTTCTCAATAAATATATATATATATTACGGATTATAAATGTGTCGACTTTTGTGATTGGATAACAACACAGAAATGTCAGTATGATTATATTCAGGAAACTGCCGGGGTATATGCGACGTTTTTTTTTTACCCCAATTGGAACCTCAACAAAGACATCATAACGAACGTTACTATGTGACGTAATTTGAAGCTATATACAGAAACACTTAAAGAACGTCAGAGGCTCACAGAGGGAAAATAATGACTTGTATCCGTCAGCAATACGTTTTTGATTTAAAATCACGCGATTTACGCATCAAATACTTAATTAATGTCTTAAAGTGCTATTACAAATTATTGCATACACGATAGAATTATTTTCACAGCAAATAACAAAATCCTTCGCGTATGCGGAAAATATATATACTGCATGGTGAATGTTTAACAAATATCTGGTACTGGAAAAACATTTAGGCAGGGTTTATCCTCAATATAAGTGTAATTCAGGTTTCAGACAAGGAATATAATGTGAAATTCCCGGCTTAGGGTTTATACATGTATCCCCTTCGCCTTCGTCTCAAGGGTTATAAACTCTAAGCCGGGAATGTCACATTAAATACCCTGTCTGAGACCTAACTAACATATAATATTAGTGGGGGTGGGGATATTAACCGTGTGATTTAAATACAAGCTCTCTGGGAAAAGATACACAACAAAATTAAATGCATATATGGCAATGACAATTATTTTGAAAACAAATAATTTACAAAAATGTTTATGGCAAATATTGAATTCTCAGGTACATTAGATCTTTCGCCGAGGATGTCAGTTTTTAAGGTGCGATAATATTTTTGCATACTTTGCAAAAAACAGTTACTAGAAGCTAGGATGTCCAACATTTATTAATATTGTAAGGACTATATAGGCAAAAGCAAATTTTAAAGAGTTAAAAGACTTGTCGATAGCATTTTGAAATATTATTAATGGAGGTAGCTTTACTGAAAATTTCGAAAAATTGCGATTACCAATCACCTTTTTTTTGGAACTCAACAAAATAAATTAAACAATGTTATAAAAACAAATAATCAGAGTTGTCGGCCTCCTATTCGTCAAATATATTAAATAAAATAAAAAGAGGTATACTCTCTATATTTTCAAAAGAGAGGTCGAACGATAACATAAAGAACATCACTACTACAGGGGTGTTTAAAAATCAGGACTATTTGTGGTGAAGTATTAACTTTGGTCACAGTGGATCTTTTTATGACCTCTTTGATCAGCCTGCAAACTATGCCAATGAAATTTTCTGTTATATTTTTTTATATTGTTTCTAGTATTCATTTACAATAACAAAAACAACTATAAATGTATAAAATTGGACCTACCCTCCTTCGCTTAGCCAGAAATCATTAGCAAAAGTAAAATCCACTAAAATTACAAAAAAAATACAACTAAAATAAATTAGTTTCACATCCATGTTCTTAGCTTAAACGCATACTAAAGAAATTAAGGACAGATTTAAGTCCCAATTCAAAAATCGATTAAAAAAAGTATTTAACAATCCGCTTTAAAATCGTTCGACGAAAGTAAACTTTAAATTGTTCTCGAATTTCAGATGAAGACCTTTTTAAATTGTAATTGTTCTAGTTAGTAACCGTTCATCTGTTTAATTAATTAAGTACTGTCTTATTAGTTCAATCATTAGCTAATAACAATGGATTCTCATTTCAAATTAAAAAAATTATGCAAACAAAGTAATTTTTGTTTGAAGACAATACATCTTTTGTTCTAATTGCAACGTGATCGCTTTAAAGGGTCGTTGTATTGACTTATTTATTTATGCTTGTCATTATATATATCTTCCAAGAATTTTTCCGGTTATACTAAAATCTTTAGAGAAATAGATTTCACCACCATATCTCGTGCGATACGACATGTTTTCACATTCGACAGTTAAGGACATATCATGGCTACATATCAACCTATTTCAAGTTAAACTCATATTTCATATGTATGTTCACAATTTTCGGATTTGAATGCCTGCATACCAAACTAGTATATACAGAGCTCCAATTTTACATTTATACATTTTCAATTTCAGGGCTATACGTCAGCTGGCCTACGCCTAACAACCATTCCACCAGTATGTTTGCTTTTTTATGGGTCGCATTCCAAGTTATGTATGCCGATCTCCTATTTTCTGCTCTACACGTTTGCAGAATACTTGTACAAAACTGGTCTATGCTCATATATTTCACATGCATCTTGTATATTTTCACATGTTCGTGTTGCTGGGTTTTACCGGGTAGTGTTTGTTAGATTGTTGTTCTTATGATATTGGCATTGCCAGTTTTTCTTCGATTATAAGTCTGAGTCAATTTTATCAAGACCCTTCCAAACGCATATTTGATGTAACTGATATGCAATTTTATGAAAGACTGAGCAGGGTGATACAGATATAGTTGCATGGTTACGAGACCTCATGCGATCATGTTTCGTGCCATGATACACTTTAAGTCACAGATCATAGCACGTTGTTTTTTGCAACAAACAAAGAAAACGAATGTAAAATAACAAAAAAAAAAAAAAAAAAACGAACTCCAAGAAAAATTCAAAACGGAAATCCTTTATTATAAAGCAAAATAAAACGCTCAAACGAATGAAAAACAACTGTCATATTCCGGACTTGGTTCAGGCATTTCCTCATGTAGAAAATGGTGGATTGAACCTGGTTTTATAGCTAGCTAAACCTCTCATTTGTATGACAGTTGCATAGAATTCCATTATATTGAGTGTGTGTGAGCAAAACAAACAGACATAATAGGTAAATTTAATACAAATTGGAGTACAGCAGTCAACCTTGTGTTATAATCTTAATCACTATAAAACCAAACAACTATGTCAACAAAGAACAAGAGGCTCTCAAGAGCCTGAATCGCTCACCTGTAATTTTTTGCTTAAATCTTTCATCAATGATTATTTTTGCTTTTCAATATATATTAATGAGTGGCTTAAAAATGCCATTTAAATGTTCTTTGTATCTGTCATATTTTCTACAAAAGCAAAAAATTGCATTTTACCCCTATGTTGCATTTTAGCCATAGTGGCTATGTTTCTTGACATACAAGGAAATAAAATACAAAATTTATACTAGATACTCTGAAACTCATTCAGCCCAAGTTTGGCGGAAATTTATTCAGCAGATTCAAAGGAAAAGATTTTTGAAAATTTTTGCTGTTTACAGTTTATCTTTATCTATAATAATATTCAAGATAATAACCGAAAACTGCAAAATATCCTTAAAATCATCAATTCAGGGGCAATAACATAAAAATCATTTTAAAAAACTGCATTTTACCCTATGTTCTAATCTTGTCCATGGCGGCCATGTTTTCTGAGGAAATAGAAAATAAAACACAAACTTTATTCTAGTTAACCTAAGAATCATTCAGCTTAAGTTTGGTTTAATTTGGTTCAGTAGTTTCAGAGGAGAAGATTTTTTAAAGTTAGAAAACATGATAAACAAATTGTGTAAAATTGTCCTTAAAGGACAATAACTCCTTAAGGGGTCAATTGACAATTTTGGTCATATAAACTTGTTTGTAGATCTTACTTTGTTGATCATTTTTGCTGTTTACAGTTTACAGTTTATCTTTATGTATAATAATATTCAAGATAACCGAAAACTGCAAAATTTCCTTAAAATTACCAATTTAGTGGCAGCAACCCAACAATGGGTTGTTAGATTCATCTGAAAATTTCAGGGCTGATAGAACTTGACCTAATGAACATTTTTATACCTGTCAGATTGTCAGATTTGCTCTAAATGCTTTAGTTTTTGAGATATAAGCCAAAAACTGCATTTTACCCCTATGTTCTATTTTTAGCCATGGCGGCAATGTTATTTGACGAAACAAAAAAAACCACAAACTTTATTCTAGATACCCTAAGGATCATTCAGCTTAAGTTGAGTTGGAATTGGTTCAGTATGTTCAGAGGAGAAGATGTTTGAAATAGTTTACACCGGACGGACGACGACGGACGACGACGGACGCCAAGTGATGACAAAAACTCACATTTCCTTTGGAAAGGTTAGCTAAAAACAAATGCTTATTCTATTGATATTTAACAAGAGGCTCCCAAGAGCCTGAAACGCTCACCTGTAATTTTTTGCTTAAATCTTTCATCAATGATTATTTTTGCTTTTCAATATATATATTAATGAGTGGCTTAAAAATGCCATTTAACATGTTTAAATGTTCTTTGTATCTGTCATATTTTCTTCAAAAGCAAAAAAATGCATTTTATCCCTATGTTCCATTTTAGCAATAGTGGCTATGTTTCTTGACGTACAAGGAAATAAAATACAAAATTTATACTAGATACTCTGAAACTCATTCAGCCCAAGTTTGGTTGAAATTGATTCTGCTGTTTCAAAGGAGAAGATTTTTTAAAGTAAGTAAACTAGATGAACAAATTGTGAAAAATTGTCTTTAAAGGACAATAACTCTTTAAAGAATCAATTGACAATTTTGGTCATATAAAACTCATTTGTAGATCTTAATTTGCTGAACATTTTTGCTGTTTACAGTTTATCTTTATTTATAATAATATTCAAGATAATAACCGAACACTGCAAAATTTCCTTAAAATCATCAATTCAGGAGCAATAACCTAAAAATCAGATACCCGATTTGGCTGATCATTTCAGGGCAGGTAGACCTTGACCTAATGAATACTTTAACTTCTTGTCTGATTTGCTCTAAATGGTTTTAGTTTTTGAGATAAAAGTCAAAAACTGCATTTTACCCTATGTTTTATTTTTAGCCATGGCGGCCATGTTTTTCTGAGGAAACAGAAAATAAAACACAAACTTAATTTTAGAAACCCTAAGAATCATTCAGCTTAAGTTTTGTTTAATTTGGTTTAGTAGTTTCTATAAAGGGCAATAACTTCTTAAGGGGTCAATTGGCAATTTTGGTCATATTAAACTTATTTGTAGATCTTACTTTGCTGATCATTTTTGCTGTTTACAGTTTATCTTTATCTATATTAATATTCAAGATAATAACCAAAAACTGCTAAATTTCCTTAAAATTACCAACTTATTGGCAGCAACCCAACAATGGATTGTCAGATTCATCTGAAAATTTCAGGGCTGATAGAACGTGACCTAATGACCATTTTTACCCCTGTCAGATATGCTCTAAATGCTTTAGTTTTTGAGATATAAGCCAAAAACTGCATTTTACCCCTATGTTCTATTTTTAGCCATGGCGGCCATGTTTGTTGACGAATCAGAAAATAAAACACAAAATTTATTCTAGATACCCTAAGGATCATTCAGCTTAAGTTTGATTTGAATTGGTTCAGTAGTTTCAGAGGAAAATATGTTTGAAATAGTTTACACCGGACGGACGACGACGGACGCCAAGTGATGACAATAGCTCACATTTCCTTTAAAAAGGTGAGCTAAAAATGATCAGATATTTGTCGATTGTTCAATTGTTGATAATTTAAATATTTTATCTATAAAGTGGAAATAATCTTGCGCTGTTGGAGACTTCTAAAGAATCCTTTACATTATTTAACCATGGAAGTATCATATAATAACTTTCATGGTTTAACCTTACCAGCCACTAAGAAGTGCATTAAGTCACTAAGTACACAACAAACAAATAGTACATGCACTGAAAACTTAACTAAACTTGTCAGTTTGACAATTTTTAAATGGTCATTTTGAAGGTCCACAGGACGATGCTCCGGTAGTCAGAATGATAATGGCAATAATCATATAGACTAGTCAGATATAATCAGTATTTCACCAAGAACTCTACTCACTCCGACTATTTATATAATCAATATGACTATACCAGTCAGTCACCTTGACTACAATTTTCAGTCAATTTGACTACTGTTTCTTGACTCGGTCAAACCACTGTCCACAGAACGTGTATGCAGTTGGTCATACTGACTGAAGCTCAGTCAAATCGAGTTTTGATCAGTCCATTAATCAGAGTTTAACTGCTTAATAGAGCCCCATACTCAAAATTACTAACCAAAAGTTCAAGTCTTTTCTAAAATCTATAAATTTACCATTCAATACTAATATATTACCCGATTTTGTACAAAGCCTGCACAGTAGAACCGAAGACTATTTGACCAAATATGAAAAATGTAAAACCGTCATGCAGAGAGTAAAATATGTAAAATATATCAAACAAAAATGGTATGCAAAGAAAGAGCCCAAAAATGACGTTAACATTGTACCTTTTACTCTGTCACGAAGGAAGTGAATAAAAGATGTGTCGATAGTTTTATATTTTCATTAAAAAACAGAAATGCAAATCAGTTTGTAATAATGATGATCCGTTGTAATTATTTTCCTTTTAAGCAATAATTTCGTTCATTGAAGCCTGAAATTTATAGCAGACGCGTGCATAGTGTTTTCGAAGTGCATATGAAACCAGGAACATCGCCAAAAAGAAAAAAACAAATGGCAACCATTGTCAACAAAAATCTATCTTCTTTTATTTCGCTTGTATACTTTTCATCGTTTGTAAACATACATGAGTATTCTTATTTTACAACTGAACTATTTTATTAGAACCGTCATCGCTATTATTATTTATTTAATGTATACATATGAAGGTTTAACATTTAAAACAATATCAAATTGCACTTCTCACAGTTGTCAATTAGGTAATGCTTAGATAGATCTGTATGAAGTACGGCTTCAAACTTTGTAACATAATGACAAAGAAATAATTAAAAGTGCAAGAGGTCAAGATTTCCATAAAATATCAAGTACCGTGACACACCTTTCCGTAACTGTAATCTTTCTTTTATAAGGTAGAATACGATTTTTTTTTACTGTTAGCTCTATCTTCGCCGTCTTTTATTCTATTTCAGTGCGTTTTTTACTGTTTCTTTTGTTGTTCCAATTATCCATGTAAAACGATTCTAGCCTGAATATCCCTAGACCTAGTTTATCCCGTACGATTTTATGTGCAAGTCTTAAATCTCTTCATTGGTTTGCTTGTTCATTACTTTCTGTTTCTCAGTTCATGTCATAGCGGTTTCTTTGTTCATGTCTTGCTGTTTCTTTGTTCATGTCTTGCTGTTTCTCTGTACATGTCATGGTGTTTCTCTGTATATGTCGTGGTGTTTTTTCGTTCGTGTCTTGGTGTTACTTTTTCATATCTTTCTTGTTTGTTTGAATTATTTGATCTTTTAGCAGCAGGTGTTTGTAAGGTATACTAATTGCTTCTCTAGAGTTTTTCTCGGTACATGTTTGTAAGGGATATGTAGCTCGTACATACATGTAGTCGTGGGAAGACGGAAGACAAGTAGTAAAAAGCACCACCGCATACGCCGCCTATTCCTTAAAAAAACTCAGAATCAACACACTCCACACTCTCGTGAACAAACCTGTCTTAAAGTTGGAGGTAAAAAACGTAAAGAAAAGGTAGCTCGTAAGTTAAAAGTATCGAGATAATTACTCATGGTTGATTAAGGTTCAGTTGCTTCAAATAAAAGGAATAATGATTGGCCCAACACAATAACTATTGGCATTTGTTCAAAATGCAACAAATACTTAATATTCCGAGTCTCATGTAAAATACTTTATATAAAAGACATAAAGTGAAAAAATAGAGTTGCTTTAACTGCGAATGGATTGATGATTCTTGTTTAATTAACGTTCAGTAGCAAAGATTTCATGCATATTCGTGACAATGAATAAATTTAAACAACAAATCAAACAAGTTCCCAAATATGACGGATCCGACGTGTCTGTGTAGTGATGCATCCGGCATAGCCAATATAAACGGACCAACACTCTTTCAACATTAGAGAATTCCAGGCGACCATATCTATATACACACATGTAAATCAATGGAGTGCCTCCCTTGAAATAAGGGAGGAGTCAAGTAAGCGAAAAGACAAAATACAAGCAGCCAATATGCAAAAGGGAAAACACTACGAAAAACAGTCATCATTCTCATCCATATGGACAAATTTGGGGTACTTCGCTAATTTGCATCGCGGCCATATTGCCTTATCATGACGACAGCCATTACAATAGGATTATACTGGCCCCTGAATTAAAATAAAAATACAAATTTGCCAATTCCTAAGTCGAATCAACAATTTGTTCGCATATAGGTGAATTGTACATGTATTTGCCTTCTGTTCGTGTCTAATGAACATTGTCTACTATGAAATATTTTCAGTTTAAAAATGGGGAGCGTAACCGTAGTATAATTGCTATATAAAATAACGAAAAATCGTAAAAAGCAAAAGCAAAAATAAAAAAAAGAACACAAGAAGAGATTGTTCATGATTTGTTCGCATGTAGGGAAAGTTTTACACCTAGCTGCGGAACCGTAGCTCATAGGTCCTTATGGTCCGCAAATTGTGTCAAAAAATATCACAAGGACCTATCAGCTACGGTTCCGCAGCTAGGAAACACCTTGCAGGTTAAATAACTGTTATCTTACCTGCTTTCTTAAGTTTTTGGCCAAATTGTTTTAAAAACATGATGTTTTCATCCTTTCCATTTCGAAAATAGTCAAATTTTAAGCATTTCACCTTTGAATAGCACAACATATTTGTAAATATCCGCCAAAGGTAGTTTTAAAAGTATAGTCATGCCGATGCACAGGAAGTCCAATGTAAAAATTATGATTTTGTGTATTAATGAAAGAAATACAACATGTATTCAACATTACAGATAAATAAAATTCTAATTAAGATAAGCAGTATCTAGGAATATATTCCAACATGGATTCCTATGAATAAAATGGTCAGAGGGTAGTGGTATGAAACAACTGTTTACTTTGTTGTAGTTCACTTGTTGAATATGATTAATACCAATAACCAAACGACTGACTGCAGTATAAACATAATTATGGTTACCTTTTAGACCGGTTTGAGAGGGACATCCGTTTGGCTACGTGTTATATAAAGATACGCAGTTACGTGTGATCCGAATGGGTACGTCAAATCCGATGCCATGTGTCAATAGTTTTATTTTTCGCTCAATGTGCAATACATTTTGATTTCCAATTTTAATTTATTTGCCAAAATATGGCCACAAGGAAACTTGAAACTGCCTTTCTAATAAAGACGGATATTAATTTCAAATAGAGTTATGTGAAAATGTTCTGCTATCCCTGACTGCAAGCAAAGACAATACCCGCTTTTTCAATATTTTTTATTTGTAAATACTTCTAGTTCACGGATTATAAGCCAGCTGAATTGTGTTCCCCTGACCTCAATGTGTAAACAATCTATATTGTATGGGAGAACTATTCCTTGAATTAAAGAATCTACATCACCACCTGCAAAGTTGCCGACTTTTCTCAAATCGCTACAATAAAATCTATCTTTTTCATTAGCACCAACTTTTAAAATTCCATATTCTAATGTATCGGTCTTATCTGTAATATTCCCTGTAGATATAATAAGCCTAGATATATTTAATGGTTTTTCAAAAATTATTCTAAAATATTGCCTTTTCTTTATTCCTTTCGCCCAAAAATATGAATTATTTGTATATATATTTTCCGGTGGATATCCTGGTACCACCTCCATATCTGTCTTGAATCTCGCTGGAGGTTTTTCTCCTTTCGGTAAAATCATAATAAGCGGAACTTTAGATCCAAATCCTTTAAATTTTATGTCAACTGATGGCATCATTTTATTTTCTAGTGATGAAATCCTTCCAATGTGTTGAAATAAACTGACTGGTGAGTGTATTGGTGATGGTTGTCCCATATATTTTCGAATATAACCTAGAAGAATATCACATGGAAACGACGTGAAATTCGACAGTAAGACAGATGAAATTGAAGAAAGATGCTTAGAATGAAAGATTTGGCCAATGAATCCAAGGCTTGAAAATTCTAAACATATCCAACTTTGATTTTGTCTGAGGACAAAACCTTTAATATCAGTTAAGAATCCTGGTGCCACTAGGATGTCATCTTCCAGTTGAATAAAATACCGATTGATACCTTGGCTGTAAAGCATAAGAAATGCAAAATCAATATTCTGTTTTGATCTCCATTTTACCCGTTCAACAGGGTCATGCTTTGTTTTGTTAAGTATTGACAGATCTGGGTAAATATATGACGGAGCACTTATAATGTGGATGAGTCCATTCTCAAAATGAGATCTGAAGTCTATATATAATAACCGTGCTGTACGTTTATTCCATGCCATATCTAAATCTGCCATAAATATTACAATAACCACCTCGCTGGCTATGTTGTTGTCGATATTTGATACCAATGATTTTAATGTAAAGTTGAGGTAGTAGTAGTCATTAAAAGGTCTTTTCACTGTGGATATTGCCAGGGTCAAATAGCCTGTTAAAATAATAAATAAAACAATAATTCATATTATTTCTGATGTTCACCTAATTCTGCCCTTCGAATTATCGCCAGCTCATCTCTATGATCTAAGAAAACGTATATGCGTATGATCATCATAAGTTATTTAACTAAACATGTAAAAAACTTTTAAATTCAATGTTACACAAAGACCTATAACAGAAAAAAATTCTAAAGAAACAAGAAAAAGATGAATATTCAGGACGAGAAAACTGACCAATAAATCAATTAGATAGGTATGCAAAGTTAGGCGACCGTGATGAAGAGTGAGATATTTGGATTGAACCAAGAAAACGACATGTTAGGTATGGACATTTATTTCCTTGCAATATTTGTTATTTTATACTTCACCAAAGTGTTGTTAATGGCGATATTTCATGTGCAGACAGCGCGGCACTCTCCTATAACCATGCAGGCATTGCATCTAATTTTTGTATTTTTTAAAGAACTGGCTGATTATTTCACCATACCAAGCAATCAAACGCACACTCCTTGACTCAGCACGGGTCCTACTACAAAAGTGGAGTCTATGCGATCATATTTCTACAATCCCAAACAACCCATGAGGACCAAAGAAAGATGAAATATGCCTAATACTGTAAAATGTGTATTTGCATTGGGATTTACTGGAAGATCAAGAATTTATGTAACTAAGAAACAGTTGATGCTAATACAACTGTTTATACCAAAACAAAATTTTTCTCTTCACAGAGCAACCGTTTGACAAGTGGTTACAATCGATTAAAACATTAAGAGATATATCATAATAATTTTTTTTTGGGGGATGTAACACATCTTCTGATAGGCTGAATTTTTTTTACCTATCAGCTCATAGACATAATTTTATCATGTGACCATGATGTCATCAACGTTTTTTTCATGATTTACTCTTTATTAATGGAATTTAGAATTAAATTATAAGGAATGACTGTAACATATTTTTTTCTGTCTATAAAAAAATAAGCTAAAAAATGTGGTGCACACATTTAAATAATCCGATAGCGGGTTATTCAGTGTGCACCACATTTTTGATGTCATTTATTCATAGACAGAACAAAATATAACAGTCATTCCTTAAATAAACTGAAGTTTCTAAATATAATGATAAGATGAAAATTACTTGTATTCTCGAAACATTCTGTTTCAAATAGCACCTGATTCATCGATCAAAAACCCTAAGCTGCACTTTTCATTTACATTTTCGAATGTCAAGAACCATTGAAACAACTCTATGAGAGATGGCCTGGAACACGGCACATTTTCGGTCTCTATCTAACATATTCTAATTAACAGTGACAATCAAATTGTCCGCCCGTCATCCCGGACGACCTACTTTTTTACTTTACTGTTAATGTGTTCTCGTCCTGAAATGCATTAACTAGTTTACAAGTATTGCTGAATAACATTTTCAGTTTATGGAAATAAAGTTGTTGGTTTTATTTTAATGTATGTTATATTGATACTGGTTGAGGAATTACGTTATAACTGAAATAGAAAAATCGAAAAAAAAATTTCAAAAAGTATATTTCCTATACTAGAGGAAACTTGTATCCTCATTGGTTCTCTTTCTGTAATTATAGTAAACTTTACACTGACCAACGTGTCAAATGGTGGAAATAAACTATAACAAAATCCTTATCATTCTGTTAATAACATGTACCTGCTGTCTTCCTTTTGTGTCCATAAAGAATAACACTATCATCTATATTGCCATTCTTGTTGTAATATTGTTGAAATGCAGACAGCGAGGAAGGTAATGACAAAGTCCTGATATCTTGTTTTCGCCAACTATTGAAGAAGGAAGTATCAAAATTATCGCCTTTTTTACTTGTTTGGATTTTTTTTCCTGGCTCCGATTTCCTTGTTTCTTTATTCAACGTTACATTTTGTACAATGTCCTTTCTAAATATTGTTTCATTGACTATGAACTCTGCCTACAGTAAAAAATCGTGATATAAAAAACAATGAGATGTGATTGACTGTCTTATAGATAAAGATGAAACAAAAAACTTTAAGATCTGAACTTTTTGAAGGCTAAAATATGCTCTTTATAAAACTGTACAGGAATATACATGTAATAGTAATTGTAATTTTAAAATAATCATTGACAACAGAGTCAAAAATAGTATGATTATTAACATATGAATTGAAAGTACTTATTAGTACACTAATGAAATAGAGTTTAACCAATCAAATATTATTTTTTCTTCTTTTTTGAGCAGTTTTTAGCTTTCTTTTGTGAATGAATTTATCATCAGATAAAAATCAGAAAAATACAATCTTAGGAACATTGATGTATTGTTCCTTACGTAATGTCTTGTGGCAAATATTCTCTGCATGTTCTGGAAAAATAAATGAAAACGTAGGCAGCGCAAAGTGCGTCGTCCGGGATGAAGGGCTAGAAATCGTGACTGGCACTTGAGAAAGAGGGGATGTTTGATAGGAGCAGAAATTTGGCACGTATGTACCTCTAAAAAAAATGAAAACAACACGTTATAAATTTCATGCGTCCGAAGCGCTTTCCGGGATTTACCTTCATCAGGAACGCTCAAAGCCGAATATTTGAAAGCCAAGGATGTATAAAAACCAAAACAATTGAAAAGATATATAACCAAAAGGACAAAAAAAAAATAGACAAATCCATCTAAGGTCAACTTTGCCTGAGGGGGTTGAAACCTTAGTTTCTTTATAATTTCAAAATTCAAAATGTGTGTTGAATGTTCTTTAACGCACAGAAATCGTGTCATTTTCTCAAAATGATGTATATGAAAAATATTTTTGTGAACTTGGTGTGTCCGAAGCCCTTTTCTGGATCAACCATCGCCATGAACGCTTAAATCTAAAAATTTGAAAGCCACAGATGTATTAGTATTTCGGAGCTATAGAACCAAAAGCGACATGAAAAAAGCGAAATCCATTTTCGGTCAATTTTGCCTGAGGGAATTCGAATCTTTGTTGGTTTTAACATGCCTATTCAAACCAGACATGACTGTATATCTACATCCCACATAGCCAAATGGACATCAATGTCTGCTTACAACTGGCTATATAAAAATAAGCAGATATGGTTTGATTACCAATGAGATAACTAACCACCAAAGACCAACCGACAAGAATTTAAACAACTACAGGTCACCGTACGGCCTTCAGCAATGAGCAAATTCGATACCGTATAGGGTCCTACAAAAGGTATAAAATTCTCTGGAATAACAAAATGTGAAACGATTCAAGAGAAGAAACCAACGGCCTGATTTCTGTACCCCGATCACTCTTGAGGTGACCATCTAAGGAAGAGCTAATTTTGTCACTAAGAGACCAGTTTCATAGAAAAATGTATAATGTACAACAAAATGTATATGCTGTATGAAAAAAAAACCATATTTACGCGAATTTCTTCTTCATTTATGTTCCACTGAACATGAAATTAAAGATTAATGGAAAGTTAGAGGTTTGTTTCATAGCTTCGTCTTTTCTTGAAATTGACACAGATGCAAGACTTCAAACTACAATCTAAGACAAACATGACTCTTTTCAAATCGTAGACTTTTCATTTCTCAAAAGTATCATACTTTTTGTATGACGTTTGTATATCTCCATTTATACGTTACGCAAGTGCATGTTCATACTCCGCGGACTTCATTCGTAGAGATGTTCTTCTAACGCAATTATTCCTAAATTGGGTTATGAAGAAGAACGATTGAAATCGACACTACACATGCTTTACGGTCGCTATCTATAACTGATTGAACGATACGATGAGGTTGTGTTTTAACTCTGCGGTCGCCAGACCAGCATAGAAAAAGGGATGCTTTCTTTTTGTTGTTAAAATTATTTTATCTCCAATAGAGATTTAATTCGTTGTCATTAAATAAAAAAAAGAATTTGGTCATATGAAATAAATAAAATTGTAAATTATGTATGAAAAATGTATTATCCTGGATTTCTCCGCTCCAGCAATAAGATCCATCCTGTAGAGGGAGGCTGTTCGGGATGTATAAATACAGAGCAACATCCGGTGCAATAGGGACCTTAAAGCTGATGCTCTTAGTTTGAAGTGTTACGCATTCTTAATAGCCTATTAGTCCTGCAGATCGGTGACAAAATTGTGGGTTTGTTGATAAAAGCACCTTAATTTGGCATGGCAGTAGTGTTGGGTGTTTCGAAATAAATTAGCTATAAATCCACCTTAAAAATTAGATATGGCAGTTTTTTCCAAGATGGCCGCCACAAATATCAAAATAAACAAACATCCCTTATATTAGTTTAAATTTGTTATGTTAGTAGTGCTGGGTGCTTATAACAATATAAGCTACGAACCCAACTTGAAATTCCAATATGGCGGCTTTTTCCAAGATGGCCACCATAAGATATCAAAATTCCCTTATAGAAGGTTACAAAGTGTTTTGTTTTGACGTAACTTCAGTAAAACTAAGAGCATTATACTACCAAGTGTATGCCACATTTATCAAACATCAAAAGATTTGTGAAGAAAGTATAGAAAATCGCAACTACGGTAACATTCTTGCAGAACAGTAGTCTACACTATAGACACTGGTGTTATTCCAATATTTCAGCTAGACTTAACTAGAATGTATTCTTCTCTGTGATCAACTGGAAGAGGACATAGTAATGATCTAAAAAATGCAGTAATCTCAGGCTTGCCAGGCCATTAACAAGGCAGGTGTTTGCTTCTTCTGTTTAGTGATTAGTTTGGTGTTGCAATTAAACAACAGAAACAAACTGTATGTTATAACAACGATACTTGAAAAAGCTGCACATGCAGGTAGTTCAAAAATACATGGTGTGGGCAAAAGTCATTCAAAGGAACTTCTGTTTTATTTCTCTATTCTTCTTTAACATTACATTCAACTTAACCAAATCCATCTCTTAGTGTACATAGGCCTTCTTCTGGATGCTAGAAACAGGAAAGGAGGTACTAGATGACAAAATGTACATTTTACGTTTGTCGTTTATGAATGATCCCGTTATAAATTTATCTACAGTACTATAAGATTCAATTAATGAAACATTCAACATTGAATATATAGTTCCTACGGCGAAAATTGTTGGTTGTACAACAGCAGCCGTGGAAAATATTGACAACATCAAGCGTTCAACTACGGTTAAAGAATCGTTACATAGTACGACAATTTCAATATTTCAGCATTTTCTTAATCCAACTTGGCAAATTCGTCATAACCTTTTGCTTTGAATTAAATCAATTTCCCTTATTATCCGTGGTACTTCAATCAATATATTATGTGCCAGCACAATTGTTCGTATTATTGCTATAACTAAGTATATATTTTACTATAAAATAAGATATATCCTTAATACTAACCAAATATAACCATGCGTTTCATACTTTTATCTAATAATAACCGTTTTATGGACATGCACTCTGCCAATTGTCTAACCAGAAATACATGTATGCCAACCTGGTTAGATAAGTCAATTGTGCATCCTTACATGGTATAAATAAGTTAACAAAATGATAAAACAGATGGCGTGAAGCAGATGATAATGAAAACATTAAATATGCCTGGACAGCATGCCACTCATGTACAGCCAAGACCAATAGACATCCGCCTTTGTGTATCAGTCCACATTGACCAATGTTTCAAGAAGAGATCAAATCTATCACAACGATTCGACATTCTATGAATAAAATCCAGCATTGTGTTAATTTTTTCGGGGACATGTATCAATTATTACTTGCGATCAATTGTTTTTTTTTTTGCTTTTGCAGTGGAACTGGGCAAGCATATTTCGAGCAGGACAAAGAATAGTTTTGTTTTAGGTCTTCGTATAGAAATGGCATCGTTGAGAACCTTATGTGATTGGTTAGAAAACAGTGGTTAACAAGTGTTTAATCATGGAAACATAGTACTTCATGAACAGCAGATTCTTTTTAGAGGCTCACATGCATCATGAACAAAACATTTCCATGAGGTTACAGTAGGTGTACGTCTCATTCATATACAAAGATCCTGACATAATTTTTACTGAGGAACGAGACCCTAGTGAGAACTATGTAACATTCAAAGAATGGAGTAATAAGAGGGAAATTGACAGTCAACTTAACCACGACTGGTATGTAACATTAAAGATTGAACTGGACATTTTGATGTGAGATCATTTAAAGAATGTTCCTTCTATTCCTTCTAAGTATATAAAGATTCCATTATAATACTGATTATTCATTGGTTCTTTCCATTTTTCAATCTAAATTATGGCTTCGAGTACCCGTGTGCGATAGTATGCCATTTAACTATACAGTTTAAGTGTTGCAAACGTTTTTGAAAATGATAAATGTAGATCAAGCCCATTTACACACTTGTCAAAGGAGAAGGTGGGGCAATCAAAATGACCATCAATATCGCACAACTACAGACTTTAATAATGTTTTGTCTAGAAATGGCCATAATGATTAACAAGTTTGAATCCACCTTTGAAATAATATAACGTGATCAGGTAATCCACATTATGTTCTACACCAGAAACGATTTAAAACCAAAAACACAACATTCTCAAAGCATGTGAAAGCTTTAGGCGGGTGAATATTTCGGCCTTTTACCCAGAGTACTACTTTGAGTGAATGCGGATAGCATATACCCTATTGGGCGTTTATCACAAAGGTATCAGCATTTTGTAATGATCTAATAAAATGTGGTTGACAGATATGAAACGGATGTCAAGGTAGATGAAAATGCGCGAGGACAATGACGTTATGTATACGTTCCTGTTTAAAATGTGGTTGGGAGTGAGGCAAAGACTAAATGGGCTGTCCTTAAGAAACATTTTGAAAACTGCTGTGAAAACATGTTGTTGTTTAGATAATAAAAAATATAGAGAAGGTACTTAAGCACTCAACTATCATAAGTAAAACAAAACCAGATAAGAACATGGGTAAAACACGAAAAAAAGGACTAACAGCAGTCAAGAAACCACTACACAAAAATCTAAACATTGAGCAACACCAGCCCAAATATCTAGGTGATCTTGTTTAAATAAATAGATGAGTCATATCCAGTAATTAGGCATATATCTTATAATGGTAGATTTATAAGTGTCTTTTTTCTAACCCTTAGAATCATAAAATTCAAAACGTAAAAACATTGGTACATACAAATTATCTAAACTTTGACCAAATGTGAATGTCTGAAATGAAATAAGGTTTTCCATGCCTGTACGATGGATAAACAAGACTTTAAGGGTTATCGTACCAATGTTGTAATTAGATCTCTGAATATAATTTACATTGGCACTAATATCGATTTTGTCATTAGCAAATTAAAACATAACTAAATTTGTATTTTCTTTTCAAACGGGATGTATAGAGACACACACGCGTTCATTTTAATCTATAAAGAAGTCACTCCTAACTATCCTACTACCTGTCGATACATTTATTTTTGGCATTGCACAAGTCATGTCTTCTTTGACTGTTCATGACGTTAAAATACTAAATCCCTGGGATGTATTTTGGTTGATTTTAGTCTCTGATACATGATTTTTTTTATTATTAATTGTTTTGGCTTTTAACTACTGTGGATTCATTATTATTCGTGGGATACCAATTTTCGAGGATTTCGTGGGTACAGATGAACCACGAATTTAAATGTTCAACAAATTACGAATTTATTATGGTCTTGTATGCAGACTGTTACAAAACCACGAAATCAAATATCCACGAAAATGTAACTATTCCTCAATCCACTAAAATTGGTACCCACGAAAATAAATGAATCCACAGTAGCTGTCAGTAACTGCGAGTACTCTCAAATTGTACTTCCTTTTTAATTTGACCTGTTGATACTATTTGTTGCTTTTTTGTTATTTAATGTTAACATGGATCTTGTCTATATACCAGCTTTGATTATTTGGTATTTAATTACTACAAATTTTCACTTCTTCGTACTATGAACATCAAAATTATTTCATTTTTCCTTAGATGCTGTTCTTGGACCTGTACAGGAAGTTTTATCTAGCACTAATTGTATATTTTTATTGTTGATATTCACCCCATATGTACCAAGTGTTAGATTAGTTTTATTGATATTAAAGAAATATCTTGGTATTCCTAAACGGAAGATTTTATACACACAGAAGAAGAAGTATACTTAACAACAAAATTATTTTCATTTACCTGTGTATAATATGACGCAGGTTTCTTCAAAAGTGATGATTTTCTATAAATTGTTTGAAATTTCAGTGATATCATAATTTAACTTGTTTAAACCTGTTTATTTACTTTTGATTTTAATTATTTATCCCTTGTAATTTTTAATTAACTGTGTATTTGCATTCAGGTGTCACAGGTCAAATTTATTCGTTCATTGTGTGTTAATTTACGTTTTTTGATTGAGTTAAGCCTTCCAATTGATATTTTATAGTGTGTTTTTCTATGTTGTGATGTTATACTATTGTTTCAGAAAAGGGAGAAGGTTTGGTACCATTAAAACGTGTAATCCTGTTGCAAATGTTTGCACCTGTCCTAAGTCAGGAATCTGATTACAGTAGTTGTCGTCTGTTTATGTAGTTCAAACGTGTTTCTCGTTTCTCGTTTTTATATAGATTAGACCGTTGGTTTTTCCGTTTGAATGGTTTTACACTAGTAATTTTTTGGGGCCCTTTATAGCTTGTTGTTTGGTGTGAGCCAATGCTCCGTGTTGAGGGCCGTACTTTGACCTATAATGGTTTACTTTTATAAATTGTAACTTGGATTGAGAGTTGTCTCATTGGCACTCATACCACATCTTCCGATATCTTTTTATTGGTTGACAACACAGACATTGAAAAAAGAGCAAATAACACAATATTGAAAGCATAAACAACACGAGTTCCTTTTCATCAACCCCCCAAGGGTGACTGGGGAATAGAAGTATGGTCACCATTGGTCTTCCTCCGACCGGCAGTAAAACCCGTGCTAAAGTGGGGCGTCCGTTTGGCTGTGCGGGATGTACAAATTTGCAGCCACGTCCGGTCAGAATGGGGACGTTAAATCCGATGCCTCGTGTAAAAAGAGTGCCACGCTCTTTGCACGTTAAGAACCCTTGCAACAACTCTTTGAGGGGTCCGTAGGTGACCTGTTGCAAGGCTAAATTTCTGTCCCTATCCAATGTACCCTCATTTCCCGTGGCAGTCTAAATTTCTCCGACCTTAATCCCTTAATCTATTACAGAACCTACCTATTGTATTTATTGTGAACTTGTTCTCGTCCTGAATATGCATGAAATATTTGCCACTGGACGTTAAGCAACCAACAATCAATCAATCAATCAATCTTTTCATCAAAACTAGGGGTCAACGCAGATGTTCCGGAAGGGTGTGTAGTTTCTGGCCAACTGGAAGAACTCGTGATGTTACTCATTGCAAGTAGAAATTCGGTGATTATTTGTATTTATTGATCATCTTGGTGTTACCACAATCGAGAAAAAACAAAGGATTGTGGCAAGGAGAAGTGGAATATATAAATTATCATTTGTGACTCAGATGGTACTTAACGGTCAAACAAATTCTGATGGCGTCCTGAAAACCTTCGAATGTTTCCATTTATGGGATCTTTGATTAAATTGTCCTGCAAGCAGCACCCATATATCATGAAAACGCAATCACTAGAATCAAAGTGCAATTCGATAGAAAAAATAAATATCAGCGGAAAATATGACACAGAAACGTCCAGGACAGAATGTTCTCGCCTCCTGTTGGGCGCAAATTGCAAATAAAACCTATTTATTGTTATTGTTTGTACGCTACATTTTATGCTCTTTTTTGAAGATTGGCCATGCTCTCTTCGTGCTGAATTGAGGTTATCTGTTACATAGCAAAGTTTTCCCCCTAACCAAAATACCCTACTTAAAAAGAAGCGGGATATGCTAAGGGGACATCCAAAACTAATAAATCAAAACAAAACTGACAATGCCATGGCAACACTGAAAGACAACGGTAGGACAAACAAGTACACTAAACAATGCACATCAAGAAATGAGCTATTAAATTAACTGCAAACAGGGATTTCTGTACTGTGAAAGTAGCCATTGTTAAACTTAATCAGAGTGCATGTAGAATGATATAAAATCCCCTTTGTCATCGGTAACAACGTTTAAAAAATTTGAAAAGCATTGATTTAACGGTTCATAGTTTATTGCACGGAATCGACAGAAGTGCCTTTTTCCAATATATCAAGGACCATAACTCCTGAACGACAAACATGATCTAACATGAAAATCGTCAATAACGAATTTGACCTCCATTTTGTCACCAATAATTAAATGAATTGGTTGAACAGTTATTGCACATAAACGTCATAAAGTGATATTTGCCAACCAACAACGGACAATGGCTCCTGAGCGGCACGAGTGAAAATCGTCAATATCGAATTTGACCTCTATTTTGGAATCAGTAACAACACATTAAAAATTTAAAAGCATTGATTTAACAGTTATTGCACACCACAACACAAAGGGCAATTTTCAATTTAACCAATGACCATACTCCTGAACGGCACATATGAAAATCGTCAATATTGAACTTGGCCTCTATTTCGTCATCGGTAACAACAAATTAAAATTTAAAGGCATTGGTTAACAGTCCATAACTGACGTCGCTACAAAAAAGTTTAACGGAGACGAGTGGTGATCTTATTCATTAATACCTGGAATTATTCCGTTCGGGATTGATTGTTGGTTCTCAGTGTTAATATATCATGCATGTTCGGGACGATTTAATGTTAATGAGCTACTTTCAGTGTTCAACATGTACCAACAGGACGAGTAACAACAAATAAAAAGCAGTAAATGCTTTTATGTTGAAGACTCCTTTTTTCATTTTTAAATGTTCAAAATTCGTGAATGAATGAACTAAAATTCTGATTTAAGACCTAGTAACATATAAATATTTACATGTCACGTTACCTCCTGTATTTGTAGTAAGTGTTTCAATGGTTGTGACATGTGTACGTCAACTGAAATAAATCAAAGTTATTGTAGCAATAATGTATTTTTACCCTATAAAACGCCAACCCTTAGATATACAAAATGTAGTTTTGTTTGAAATTATCGTGTACATGCCGAATATATCTGTATTTTAAAAAAATATTAACGCAAAAGTATATTATTAGATATGATAAAAGGATATAATTAAGCCAATATGAAATAAATCGCGATAGACTCATATTTTTTTAGGCTCGGAACGATTCAGAGCTTTAAAGACACTTTGTTGAAGACTGTATATGTTGACTTCTAGGAGTCCTTTCTTTATTTGTGTTGAGTCCCTGTCACATTGACGTATACCCCAACATCTTCTTTTATTCGGATTGATATATAATATGGTGAAATAGATCTTGTAAAAAATCGTTTTCAATACGACTTATTGAACATACTTCAACAAGTGGGTATGATTGCCGTTGTTTGTCTGTTGACCTGGCCTACATATCTATAAAAAATTTATAACAGAAACATAATACTTTGAACAATCCATCATAGAAGAAATAAAGAACAAAACAAAGATGTTTTCGGTAACATTTCGTTACCCGCTTTAAAAAAAAAATTAGAAAAATTTCACTACCTACCTGTGATAAGAAAATTGAAGATCCACACGATGACAAATATACAGAGTAATTGTTTCCAACATTTAAGTCGTATTCTTTTCATTCTTCCTGTAAAAGAAATTTTTCTGTCACTAAAATTTGTCACACCAATGTTGTCATATCTCTAATTTAAAAAGACTGCCGTTCGACAATATTCATAAGCCTATAGACAAAAGTAAATCAATTTCGTATAAAAATATACACTCTATTATTAATTATTATTTAATTTACATATTTCATATAAATGTATTATCATAATATCGTTCATGGAATCAGGTCGATATAGTATCTATCTCAAATAAACTTACATACTTTCGATAATCTGTATGAAGTTTCATAATGTAACATTGTGGAAAATTATGATTTGTACAAATGCAGTATTTATCAATAGTTTTACATGTTAAAGTATGTAACATCTAAATGTTTCTATTATACTATAATACTTCAATTCATCTCCAAGTTTTTACTTATTGATCATGTGTTGATTGTAAGCTTGAATAATAAAAGCTTTCATGATAATTATTTCAAAAGTTTAGTAGGATAAAACTACGAATTGTGAAGTTTAACCGACTTATTTGCTGTACGTGTTTATCAAAAAAATATTAAAACATTTTACAACAAAACACGGGAAGTTCATTGTTTGTGCAATCAAAAAGAGTCAATTGTTACCTGAATAACTATAATTTCAGAAGAAACGTAAGCTTTTGTTTAAAATCTCAGGGTCAGTGCAACCGACAAGTTTTACCCGACGTAGTTATCAACTAAGATTCATTTAATTGTATGCTCCACTCAACTAAAAACATAAATGTACATCCTTGTTAAATCAAACAAGAGGCTCTTGGAGTCTGAATCGGTCACCTGGTAAGGATATGCCGTTTTTATATCAATTTTACTTTTAATGTAATCAGTTATGTTATTTTCGTAGATCTTGTATTGTTGATAATGTTTGCAGTGCATAATTTGTACCTATCGTTTATAGTTCTCGAGATAATTGACAAAATAAGGGTAAGAACTCTTTGTTGACATTTTGTAGAACTTGTATAGCCGATCGTTGTTGCTATTTACCATAACTCTTTAGGGAGCTATCCCGTGAATTGTTTGTGTCACATTTTGTTTTTGCAGCCCCTGTATTGCTGAACATTTTTGCTTTTTACAGTTTTTATCTATATGTTATTTTAATATATTAGGCAAAAACATAAAAATTCGCCAAAAATCGTCATTAAAGGATAATTTCTTAAGGAGTTATCACATGATTTCGATTATATATGCATTTTTTGTCGATCTCGTATTGCTGATAATTTTTGTCATAACAGTTTCTATCTATCTATAATAATTCTTAGGATAAATGGCAAAAACTTGAAAAATAGCCAAAAGTTGTCATTAAATGGCAATTAACTCCTTTCGGACTGATCTGGTTTTTATGGGGAACTAGGAAGTAGTTGGATCTTGACATTTTTTAGCATTTTTGCACCTGTCAGATTTCCTCTTTTTATGATTTTAAAAATAGAAGATAATTAATGCATTTTATCTTTATGTTCTATTTTAAACCCAAGCGGCCTTTTTTGTTGAAAGACCGGGAAAAAGAAAAAAAAAACAAACTCCATACTAGATACCATAAGGATTATTAACCGTAAGTTTGGTTGAAACTTGTTTAGTAATTTCAGAGAAGATATTTGCAAAATGTTACGACGAACGCCATTTGAAGACAATAGCTCATTAGGCCTTATGGCCAGATGAGATAAGGAAACGTTTTATATAAAAAAAAAAAACTATATGTAGTTACTATACAGAGAAATTAAAGACTGTTCATATCTTATTTTTTCAACTCCAACGAGTGATTTGAGTATAGAAAACAAGAGGCTCTCAAGAGCCTGAATCGCTCACCTTTATTTTCTTGCTTAAATCTTTCATCAATGATTTTTTTTGCTTTTCATTATATATTAATGAATGGCTTAAAACTTCCATTGAAATGTTCTTTGTATCTGTCATATTTTCTTCACAATCAAAGAAATGCATTGTACCCCTATATTTCATTTTAGCCATAGTGGCTAAGTTTCTTGACGAACAAGAAAATAAAATACATAATTTATACTAGAGATACTGTGAAACTCATTCAGCCAAAGTTTGGCTGAAATTGATTCAGCAGTTTCAAAGGAGAAGATATTTTAAAGTAAGCAAACTAAATGAACAAATTGTGAACAATTGATTTAAAAGGGCAATAACTCCTTAAGGGGACAATTGACAATTTTGGTCATACGAACTTATTTGTAGATCTTACTTTGCTGAACATTTTTGCTGTTTGTAGTTTATCTTTATCATTAATAATATTCAAGATAATAACCAAAATCTGCAAAATTTCCTTAAAATTACCAATTAAGTGGCTGCAATCCAACAATGGGTTGTTAGATTCATCTGAAAATTTCAGGGCTGATAGAACTTCACCTAATAAACATTTTAACTTCCCTCAGATTAGCTCTAAATGCTTTGGTTTTTGAGATATAATCCAAAAAAATTGCATTTTACCCCTGCGTTCTATTTTTAGCCATGGCGACCATGTTTTTCTACGAAACAGAAAATAAAACACAAACTATATTCTAGATACCCTTAGAATCATTCAGTTTAAGTTTGGTTGGAATTGGTTCAGTAGTTTCAGAGAAGATTTTTTAAAGTTAGAAAACATGATAAACTAATTGTGTAAAATTGCCCTTAAAGGGCAATAACTCCTTAAGGGGACAATTGACAATTTTGATCATATGAACTTATTTGTAGATCTTACCTTGCTGAAAAATTTTTGCTGTACACAGTTTATCTGTATTATAATAATATACAAGATAATAACCAAAAACTGAAAAATTTCCTTAAAATTACCAATTTAGTGGCAGCAACCCAACAATGGGTTATCAGATTCAACTGAAAATTTCAGGGCTGATAGAACTTCACCTCATGAACCCCATATCAGATTTGCTCTAAATGCTTTGGTTTTTGAGATATAATCCAAAAACTGCATTTTACCCCTATGTTCTATTTTTTGCCATGGCGGCCATGTTATTTGACGAAACAGTAAATAAAACACAAACTTTATTCTAGATACCCTAAGCATCATTCAGCATAAGTTTGGTTGGAATTGATTCAGTAGTTTCAGAGGAGAAGATGTTTGAAATAGTTTACACCAGACGGACGACGACAGACGACGACGGACGCCAAGTGATGGCAAAAGCTCACCGTTCCTTCGGAACGATGAGCTAAAAATCGTAGTGGACTGGGTGGGCAGGATGTATAAATACGCAGCCACGTCATGTTGGAATGGAGACGTTAAATTGGATGCCTCCTGCAGGGCGAGTGCCACGCTCTCTAAACATGTAACTTTTTTCATCAACACTTTGGTGGGGGGTCCATAGGTGGCCAGTTGCAGGGAAAGTTTCTAATATCTAACATACCCACGTTTTACAGGGGCAGTCGAAATTTCCCATCCTTTATTCTGAAAAACCTTCCTATTGTATTTTTTGTCTATTTATTCTCGTCCAAAATATGCATGAAACAGTTGCCACCGGACATTAGGCAGACAACAATTAATCAATCATACATTAATTTTTAATGTCCCTATGAATATATGCCAAGTTCAACAGCGCAATTTTCGAGTAATGCGATGTACTTCTTCTAACAAGAACAGTAGATATCGGCACTTCTGACAATTCCTTTTAAAAAAATGACCGTTATAATGTAATTTGCATTTGAATTCGAAAAATTGCATGAGTCTTTTTTACATAATTCATTGGTTGTCCCTTTGGTATCTTGTATCTCTTTTTCTACCGATGACACTCAGTTATTGATTGCTATATGATGGTTTGCATTATTCTAGGACTAATGCAGATTCCGTCTATTCATCTCCTTGTTTGTCTGTAATTACAGCTTATTGATCAAAAAGTTGCATTGAAAAAGCTTTCATATACAAATTATCAAATACACAATTTCAACAAAGAATGAAACGATATAATATTTTATTTATAATATTTTTATATTGAGTACTCAATCCGTTCTTTGTTCAAATTCGGTTACACTGCAGATAATAGAAGTTTGTTATGAGTATTTGCCAATGAATAATTGGAAGAAAAATGGCTTTTTATGAAACTTTGGAAGAAATCTTGCTTCTAGGATAGGTATTACATTCCTGTTAATAACAAAACAGACATGGATCAAACTGGTATATGCTAACATATCTTGTGCATTGCCAAATATTATGTTTTCTAGAATGAGATTTCTACTGCCAGTGCCGATTTAAAATATATAAAAATAACACTTAACTTTTAAAATTATATTTAATATAATAAAAGAACAGAGTTCCAATGTTCCTGCGTTGCTCATATTCTATCTATCTAAGGGCAATAACAAAAAAAAACTTTTTTTTTCTTTAAAACTTTTTACAAATATCTTTGAGAAATGATTCTTAGGCTTGAGAGCAAATACAATGCAATTTTCAATTTAATTAATATTTCCAAGGGCCTTAATTCTTTTAAAAATGTTTGATCGGCACTGATTTTCGAACATGTCCGAGACATTGCTTATATAAACCATTGATATAAATTTGAAATCTGGCAAAAAAATATACACATGAGAGCGCTTACAATGCAATTTGCCATATGATTAATATTTCCAAGGGCATAACTCTTTAAAAAATATTTGATCGTCACTGATTTTCGAACTTGTCTGAGACATTTCTGATATAAACCTTTGATAAAAGTTTGATAAATATCTGGCAAGAATTGTACACACGAGAGAGCTAACAATGCAATTTTCTATATGCTCAATATTTCCAAGGGGCAAAACTCTTTTTTTGAAATAATTAATCGACACTGATTTTCGAACTTATCCGAGACATTGCTGATATAAACCTATGATACAAATTTCATAAAAAATCTGGCAAGAATTGTACACGTTATAGCGCTAACAGTGAAGTTTTCCATATAATTAATATTCCCAAGGGGCATAACTCTTTTAAAAAAAGTTTATCGGTACTGATTTTCGAATTTGTTCGGGAAATTGCTGATGTAAACCTATGGTATAAGTATTATAAAAATATGGCAAGAATTTTTCACGTGAGAGCGCTAACAAGACCAGACGGACAGACACACGGATGGACGGACGGTATTTCTATGTCCCCCGCAATGCCTCGCGCGGGGGACAGATATAACCAATAGTAAGTTATAGCCTAATTGACCTCAATTCTTTCTCGTCAACTGAACAACCTCTCATGCAGCTAGAGGCTAAAGTAATGTCAACGGACAGGAATCCCGATAACCGCGTGCTACGAATAATAGATTTTACTGTGTATGTATATACCACGAACTAATTCAACCAATACCTGATAATAACCCTGTTTAATTATTCGTGAAATGAAAAAAAAAAAAAAAAAAAAAATTAATTATAAAATGTTTTAGATGCTTGAAAATTGAAACTGAAAAATAAGTTAAATTTGAATTATTTACGACCAACAGGAAGATTAATTACAATTGTAAGTCATCTTTGTAAAATTAATTTGATCACAAGCAATTGATATTATGTAAATCACAGGAGATAAAAAAGATGGATTAAAGGGGTGATGCTAATTATCAAAAATATTGTACTGTACAAGACTTAAAATACCCGAACTTCCGAAAAAGACGCGTACGTACAAACAAAGAAAACAACACGTGCGCAAGATAACCGGACTTGGTACAGGCAAAATATACCCCTTTTATTCCTTTCTAGAACATATGTCGCAAAAGTAGTACACATAAATAACCTGTAAAGTCCAGCTACCAACATGATGACCACAAACTTGAAAAAGGAAATAAAATAAAACACGGCATATAATTTGATCGCAACTACAGGAAACCATCTAAGGTGCCAAAATCTATTGTCACTACTGCTCCTTAAAAAACAAAAAAAATCAGACACATTACTCCTTATAAGTTTCTTTACGTCTCGTCAAAAATTTTATCTGAAATCGGCAGTGTATGGGAAGGGCCAGTAGGCCAAGTTTCGACTAAGTTAATTGTTTTCTAAAACAATTTGCATTTGACCAAATGAACAACGAAGATGATATATAATATCAACCGATGTTCGGAATTGTTTACAGAAGGGCTGTTTTTTCAAAAGTCGATGAAGACTGTAATGTTGCCATATAGATGTCTTTTGATTTTATAGTTTGCTGTATCACGTACGTATACACTATGGATTGACTTAGGTTTAGAAATTCGTCTGTTCCCTTGGCTTTACTTTCTGGCAGTAAAACGGCTGGATGTATAATTACGCAACAACGTCAAGTCGGAATGGGGACATCAAATTCAACGCGTCGTGTAGGGCAAGGGCCACTCTCTTTACACGTTAACGGTAACACCCTGAGGGTCCCGTAGGTGGTCTGTTGCAAGGCAAAATATCTGCCCTTTCCAACATCAATGTATCTACATTTTCCATTGGAAGTCCAAATTTCCTACCCTTCAGCCTCTTCGACTAACCTTGCAAAAACTTTCCTTTTAGATTGATAATATTGTTAATTTGTTCCCGGCCTGAATATGTATGAAATATTTGCCACTGGGCGTTAAGCAAGCAACAATCAATAACATCTCTCATTGGAATTTACCCAACACCCAACATTTCTTTTTATTCACATTTCAATCTTTAATCCAATTCATAGTATAACTGTTTAATGTGTTGTACTTAGGGATTGTAAATATTTTATAGCTTATTTCTTAACAGATGACAAAAATATGTAAAGTTTGCTTTTTTTTTTTTTATATATCAAAATGGATTTAACAGCAACATATAACACTGGACAATATTTTAATTTATGGAAATATGTAAAACTGTTGAATTAATTCCATGTAAATGACATTGACTCTTTAATATTCAGATTTCTTTACCATTTGACACTTTTTGAGTGAAACAAGTTTCGGGGAAATTGGACAAAGCTTACTATGAATGCATATTTCTAACGGCTAAAGCACACTAGAAAATACTCATTAAAAAAAAATAAGTTCTCAAAAAAATGTTGAGGTATGTTTTTTAATTAATTTTATTTAGTAATTGTCTAGTATGGTCAGGCTACTGTTAGTTGAGGTTGTTTGCTTAATGTCTAGTGACAAATATTTTATGTACACATTTAGGAAGATAACATGTTTTCGATAATCTAAAAGGTAATAACCCTACAAAGTGGATCGAGTGAAATAAAGAGCTGAAATTACGACTGTCAATGTAAAATACAGTCTGATTAAAACCAGCCCCCCACTATCCACTTGCGTTTGCCTACAAACGCAAGTGGGTAGTGGGGGCTGGTTTTCATCAGACTGTGTAAAATGAGGAATGATTGGATATAGAAAACCCTATTGTCTTGCAACAGACTACCTACATGTATATACCTCTCCAAGAGTTGTCGCAAGGGTTATTACACTTAAAAAGAGCGTGGTAATTTCTCTATTCACGGGACTATGAATTTGATATCCATAATTCGACCGGACGTTGCTGCGTATATTTACACATCCATGCAGAAGCCTTCTTATGCGATTTGCGGGATATTTTGATTGAGTGTAGATTTGCACCAAAATGATGCATATACAGCATGCGACTTTTACCATCTCTCGCTCTTTTTAAAGTTCATGCTATACCCTCAGTTTTTATTTATCTTGATTTGTATATGTTCTAAATGGATTAGCGGTATTTGAAATCAGTTAACTGCTGTTGCTCTAATTAAACATGGATTGTAATGCCGGATGGAAGAAGTTCAGGGATGGCAATATTTTTTTTTATCTCAGTCAACCCATGATGTGTTGTATATGGTGTTAAGGTAAATTACCAGACGAAAAGATAATTATCAACCAAGACAAAGTATAGGGTTATATATTTTTAAATATGGTAACATACCATGTAACACGTATGTTAAAGCAGTAATTTTGATATTATACTGAATTCTTATCCTTCAAATGTCATAAGGAGAAAATATTGAAAGAAAAAAAATACACATGTATTTATAATTGAATTACTAAAGATTGAAAAAAGTTGATTGTTCTATTGACTTACAACAATGTAGCCATGTTTATATGTATAATTGTTTAGTGTAATTTGTAATGTGTAAGCCTAACTCCTCAAATTCTTACTTTGAATACTCACTATATATATGTTTTACCATACTTAAGTTACCCGGTATAATATTGGCTGCGTTTAAATAACTTATTAAAAGAAGAAGAAAAGACGCACATGATAACTCTAATTCCGTTCAAATACTAATTCTCAATGAGTTTCTTATAGTCGTAAGCAAATTTCATTTTTCATAAACTTTATTTCGTTAACTGAGTTTTCGATGTGAAAAAGGAGATTCGAGGTATACGTCAATCATCATAGTCTCCTTTATTGCATGGCGTTTGCATATCTCAGTTTTATATGTTCGTGCATGTTCACACTATACGGACTTCATTGACAGGGATGTGTTGCTTATACAAAAACTGTTCCAACAGAGTTATGAGGAAGAACGAATGAAATCGACACTACATGAGTGTTACTGTCACTATCACAAATTGATTGACCAATATGATGTGTCGTTTTATTAACTCACTAGTGACATGTTTTCGCGGTCTTAGATCTTAAGATACCGGTTTAGTCGATCTGTAATTTTACCGAGTGTGTTTTATTATCGATTGTGACATTTTGACTGAGTGTGAATTTGCATGGTGGGTGATGCATGTATTGCAGGAGACGCTTACACTGTCGTTGGTCTCGTCATGAACATGCATAAACAATTTGCTTATGGACAATAATCAGTCAATCTACCAAATACTTTACTTTAACAAAGACTCCTATAAGCACAACTGGTTTTAAAAAAAGTCACGAAAATATAGAAAGTATTATTTTTTCTTTTGTGCAGATAAAAACAACTCCCTCAAGTTGACCTTTGATAGATCTTGCAATTTTTATGGTCCCATATGGTCATATTTCTCTTCACGTGCTCTGATACTTATACATCCTTGGCTTTCAAATTAGTTTGAGCCTTCCTGGTGAAGGTAAATCCAGAAAAGGCCATCCTTTATAGCTTTATTTTCTTCTTCTGCATAGTCGGTTGTTTTTTTTTCATCAATATTACAGAAAAATTGGCACCGCTAATGTAATTATATGATATTGTAAATCCATGTAATGTCTACTTACCAGACATAGTGAGCCGGATGTTATGTATCCATTTTAGAATTTTAAAATAACGTACAACTTAAACATTGATATCATCGGCTGGCTAGTAGAGCGAAACATTATTGTTTAAATTTTTATACATATTAAAGTGTCAATCGATCAGGTGACCGAAGTTAGTTATTTTACAAAAATAATTCAAACGTTTGATATACATTTCAAATAGGCGGTATTTGTAAGAATATCATAATGTAGGAAAGTAATCACCTGATACTATCATTGTAGAAACACTTTTTGTTCAAAATGCATTCAATGGTCGACACTCCTTTCATTAATATGAATATTAATAATATATTCAGTCTTAATAGCTTGAAATGTTAACATACACACATATTTCATGTCTTCAAATGTTCATGTTCCATCCCCAGTGATGCAAATACAAAAAAAATAATGAAAGGAAATATCTATAAAGCTTGAATTATTTAGATCAGGAGCTTGCATGCATAATAGAAATTCCCTTTAATTCACATTGAAACATATTTTAACATGCAGAATTACCGGTATATTTATATATACATACTGGATGCCAACAGAAACGCATGTCATACACTTATCCATGAATTATCCTTAAACCAGAAATTTACCTTTATCCATTACCCTTAACCAGGCAACAAAACTTTTCTAAAATATTTTTCAACAAATCAAAATATTTTATAGTAGGTCTTTTGATAGGATATAAAGTGAAGTAATAGATATTTTTGGATGAGTAGAACTATGATAATTGGAATAAAATGAACAAATATTGAATTAATCCTTGTGTAACAGTAATGGGAGGATTCATTAAATTTGTATTTTATATAAAGGGAGACAACTGTAACGTATTACTCTTAAACTGAAACGTAATTTACTCGTTATCTAGAAAATACAATATGTAAATAGAGTATAGCTATTATAAAAAACAAAATGCATATATTAACACAAAAATGCACATAAAAGATTACATCCACTATATAATTAAAGGTTATAAATAAATGAAACCCAAATGTTATCTTATGTCCTTCAACAATCATTGCAGTCACTATCCTGATGATATGCAGACAGGATTATTATCCAGGTCTAACATGTTAAAGTTGAGAAACTAAAATCCTTCTCTTTTATTTGTTTTAATGCTACTTAGCAATGACTGAATGGTAACAGATTTATTTGGTGCAGTTGCACATACGTCTTATTTCGCTTATTCCAACAAAAGAAGGGGGTTAAGAGCTGTGGTTAAAAAAAATATTTGAAAATTGTGAGTTTCTAGCTGCAGTATCATGCAGACATATTTAAATTCGGTTTGTGATAATGTTCGTGTAGTTGAAAATGAGGTTGCCCATTTAAGACAAGTCATGTCTTCTTTGACCGTCCATAGCGTTAAAACACTAAATACCTGTGTTTAATTGATTTTAGTCTCTTATGCATGATTTTTTATTGTTCATTGTTTTTGGCTTTTAACCAGCTTTTAGTAACTGCGAATACTCTCAAATTGTACTTTCGTGTTAATTTGACCAGTTGACACGATTTGTAATGCATTTCTGTAATTCAGTGTTTACTTATTTTGTGTGGTATAACGTCTCACTATTTTTAATATGCACCACCTGTGATAAGTATTTAGTATGACGATAAATTTTCACTTCTGTATTCGTACTCCGAACAACAAATTTTATTAATTTTGTAAAAAATGTTTACTTCCGTACTCTTAACAACAAAATTATTATATTTAAATTTACCTGTGTACGTTGTTTTATTTAACGCCATTTTGTCCCAGGTAAGAGTTGTCTTATTGACACTCTCCCTACATTTTTTTTATTACTACCTGAAAGATCTATGTTATATACATGTAGGCACCTACGTTTTAATATTTTATTTATATTGTGTTATAGATGAAACTAATTCGTTCAGTGTATGTTTACTTGTTTTTCTTTAAATGTCTTTTGGAACTTCTGGATAATTTTAAATCTCGGTCTTTTTCTGAAATTAGTTCTATCAAAACATTTGATTTTTCAACCCTGTATAGCACCATACCTCATGAGAATTTGAAAAATCGCCTAAAAGAAATAATCCACAATGCCTTTCAACATAACAGTGGTAGTATACGCTATAAATTTATTACTTTGGGATACCATAAGGCATATTGTGTTAATAGGGTAAAACATGCTACACAGAGGAACAAGTGATCAGTATGCTGGAGTTTCTTATCGACAACATTTTTGTAGAATTTGGAGGTAGACTTTTTTCAACAAATTGTCGGCATTCCTATGATAACGAACTGTGCGCCTCTCTTTGCCGACCTCCTCTTAAGTTATTTTCATATGAATCGGAGTTCCTTCAGACACTTGTCAAAAACAAGAAGATCAAAGAAGCCAGATTATTTAATTTCACTTTGAGATATATTGATGATGTTATTTCCATTAACAATCCGAACTTTTCTGATTGGGTTCCATTAATATATCCCCCGGAACTAGAAAGTAAAGAAACAACAGACACGGATTCCTCCGCCTCATTTTTAGACTTATGCCTCGAATTTGACATACACAGTCATCTCAGTACCAGAATCTATGACAAACGAGACGATTTTAATTTTATAATTATCAATTTCCTCCACCTTAGTAGCAATATACGAACTTCACCTGCATACGGGATATACATTTCCCAACTTATTCGGTATGCAAGAGCTTGCAGCTCCTACTCAGACTTTGTAAAACGTCACCAGTGTCTGAGCAAAAAGTTGATGAACCAGGGGTATGTCAAAGAACGTCTCTTCCTTTTTCTAAAAAAGTTCATCGGTAGGTAACAAGACCTTGTTGATAAATATTCCGTATCAACTTCACAAATAATACATGACAGTCTTGAAGTATAGATTCTGCGTACTGATGCTGTTTATCATCTTAATAACGTGTTAAAGTGTTCTTTTATTTGTCTTTATTTATATTACTTTTACTGTTTGTTCTGTTTTTTGGTGATATACATTTAACGTGCCTCTGTACTTATGCATCCCGTCATTGTGTTGTTTGTATTATTTTTCATTTCTACTTGTGTGCTTTGTCCGTGTGACTTTTTATGTTTCTTTGATACATATGACGTGTCTCTGTACTTTAAACATCCCGCCATTGTGTTATTGTTCTATTATAATTTTTGCATACTTTGAACGACAAAATTGTTTTATGTCTCTACCTGTGTGATGTTTACATTCTGACGTCAAACACGCGATTCTACGCCAGAGTTAATGTTAAAATTACGATTTGGTCCCAGTGCTTAAAATCCCTCGATCCTTTATGGGTTGATTTGGCATACATAAATAAAACACAAAAATAAGTAAGCAATGAACGAGGTTGCTAAATGTGATATATGCTTTTTTGTGCTTCTTTGTTAAATATTTGTTTGTTTTTGTTGTGATTACGATTGTGACACGGTGTTGACTGCATGCTGTACCCCTATTTTGACATTTTTACCTATTATGTCTGTTTGTTTTATTCACACATCGATGTCAATATAATAGAATTTGATGTGACTGTCATGCATGTGAGAAGTTTAGCGCTATAAAACCAGGTTCAATCCAGTTTCTACATAAGAAAATGCCTGTACTAGGTAAGGAATATGACAGTTGTTGTCCATTCGTTTGATGTGTTTGTGCTTTTGATTTTGCCTTTTGATTAGGGACTTTCCGTTTTGAATTTTCCTCGGAGTTCAGTATTTTTGTGATTTAACGTTTTAGATCGAGTTAAGCCATTTCAATTGATATTTTATAGTGTGTCTTTTTATGTTGTAATGTTACACCGCTGTCTCATGTTAGGGTGAAGGTTGGCGCCTGTTAAAACGTTTAAACCCGCTGCATTTTTATGCACCTGTCCTGGTCAGGATCCTGTTGTTCAGTGGTTGTCGTTTTTTAGTGTGGTTCATATGTGTTTCTCGTTTCTCGTTTTTTATATAGATTAGACCGTTGGTTTTCCTGTTTGAATTGTTTTACACTAGTCATGTTGGGACCCTTTATAGCTTGCTGTTCGGTGTAAGCCAAGGCTCCGTGAAGGCCGTACTTTGACCTATAATTGTTAACTTTTTATACCTTGTGACTTGGATGGAGAGTTGTCTCATTGGCACTCATACCACATCTTCTTATTTATATTGAACAAAAGTACTTTGTTATGATGTAGTAATTATTAAATTTATTTTTCTTGACTTAATTTATTTTGTATGGCCTTATAGTAGTTTACAAAATAATGTTATACCTGTGCAGTTTAGAAACCACTGGAACAATCGTAGATACTGATGGACTTATTAGAACTTTCTATTTGAGTTACATGATGATTCCAGAATGATCATAATCTACGATGTGTATTTTAAATTCTACCATATTCTAGAAGTTTCCGTTCTATAGTTTCCTAGGAGTTTCCCTTCTACAGTGTTCTAGAGGTTTCCTAGACAAACATTTATACCGAAACCGAAATTGGACAGATTAGACATTAACATTCTAGTATTCTCAGAAGTTCTCTGGAGTTATTTAGTCCGAGATTACTCTGACGTCCAACGGTCTCACGGCCCCAGCTTGTCTGGCAAAACAACCGTTGGACGTCAGAGTAATCTCGGACTATGTTGTAATTACTTTACCTTCGTCAAATTTGAAATTTTAGTATTATACCAGCTCAAATCGATCAATGATATTCATTAGGAATGTATTTCTATGCAGTCTCTGTTGTAATAACTTAACTTTCGCCACCTGTGAAATTTTAGGATTGTACCAGTTCATATTGCACATTACTATTCTTTTTAATAGCATATCTATGTAGGGAAAACAGTAGTATTTATTCTGCCATAGGCGACAATACTAACATTTTCTAAATTTACCACTTTTTATAATAAAAACCTGACAAAACAGTTATGTGTGGTGTTAGTACTTTATTATTCTGGTTTAAAAATTGAAGTCAAACAGTATAATGACCAACTTCCAACGGAGCTTGTTTATGTTATTTATGCCCACCGTCATTTTACACTAATTTTATGAAAGTTTGGAAATCTTTTCGAATAATTCTCTAGAAAATATTTCAATGGGTTTCAAAATTTATATTGTAAATATACACACTATAGTTATTCATA